GAAGTTGTCTCTGACTCTAAATTTGATTTTGAGAACAGTAACACTTTTTTTGTTGGAGGCTACTGAAAGATACTATTATATTTTACATTTTTATCCCAAAATCTTTAACGCAAACCGTGCTGATTTTTCTTGAAGACCACCATTTCAGTTGCTCAGCTGACACCAGTAATCTGACATTCACTTTTATACTACAGGCTTTTTCCTGTGAGCTTTATTAAAAGCTTTAGATTTCCCCTTTTTTCAACTATCCCTCCATGACAACATTTGGAACCCACCCCATAAATCACTGTCAGTGGAGAGTTTTGTTACCAAAGCACTTAAGCCCCTCCCCTGCAAAAGGCTGCGGAAAGAGCTAAGAATTAGGACCTAGATTTTCAGAGGTATTAAGAGGCCAAGCTCGCTTTGAAACTGGAAAGCCCCTAAATGTCTCCAAAGACCCCAGCCCTAAATCTCTACAAGGATTCCTTACTGACACTCTCCTACTGCTCTCCAACAAGGCTGGAGGGAAACCCTCTGCTAAAAGCTGTCCCAAGCTCATGCCGCCCCGTGACACTGAGAAGCTATAGGCAAGTTAAATTCCCACTTTGGGACACTCCAGTTGTACCCCTGAAGTTCCAAAATATACCAGGGGAGACAAGGGAGGCCACCAGCTCCCCCCTCTACAAAGCAAATGAGGACCCATATCTGTGAGCTCTCATCTGGACTGCTCTGTCATAGCTGGCCTTCATGGTTCAAGCGCCACTGCCATGAAAAGCCATTGCTTTTACTTAGTGCATTTTAAGACTGTTTCCAGCTACCTGTCTGCATTTACAGAAACAGAATCTGATTTCTCCTGCCTTTCCTCTTCTATAGGGACATGAAACAAAGAGGATTTCTTGTCAGTAGAAATTAAAGCTCAGTAAATAAACAAGTGCACCTTGTGAACCTGCACTGGATTTTCCCTGCTGTGGTCTTTTGCTCATGTTGCCAATTGATTTTGAGATGACACTAACACTGGGTAATCTAACCCAGGCAGTTATGTGGGGTTCGATCCTTAGAAAGCACAAGTCCAGGGACATTCAGTGGGAACCGAGGGCAATCAATACCTTAGGAGGGTTAATCCTATGAAATGTGCAATAAGCAGTTCCCACTTCCCAAGACACAGAAGCTTCAAAGCCAGCAGAATACCAGCAGCCCTGGTAAGGAGGTAAAAGAAAAAAAAAGAGGGGAAAAAAAGGAGTTCCTGCTTTCAGCTACATTCAGTGAAACCTTTTGGAGATTAAGCGATGTCCCAGAAAGAGAATCCTGCCAGGGCCACTCCTGCATATACAGATTGTTAGATCAGAGCCAACTGAACTGTCACTGCTTTTTACTTCAGATAATTCTTCAGGCTTTACTAATTAGGTACGAACAATTCTTTCAGATGAGCTGTGAAACCCAGGGAAGAATACCAGCAGTATGTTTTAAATCAAAGTGTTTACATCAGGAATGATTCATTTTTTCCATGAGGAATGACTTGCAAGACAAGCAGCCTTAGCACTGCCATAAATCTGCATGAGAATTAAAACTGGGAAAGAACATAAAGAGAAATTGCTATCCCCACCACCCCTGCCTCAGCCCCACCTCTAGAGACAGAATCTACACTAACAAGGGGCTCCGACTACCACTGCAATCAGTGTTTGGGAAACACATGGGTTTAAATCTATTTAAGAAACACTGTGATTAAGCTCAGTGACCCTGCTCTCTTCAATGAAGGCACAACACTTGAAGGCAAACTCCAGCACTGTCATCTGCCCTAAAGCTTTTCAACAGAAAAAAGTTTATAAAAAAGTTTAAAACCACCACAAACCCAAGACCTTAGACTTTGTTTAAATGGTGATTAAGAAATACCTAACAAAAAAAACACAAAACAAAGCTGTCTGGTTCAGGCCTGTATGTTTTCCCTCTTATCCCTCGAGGATAGAGGGCCGTGAGCTGAGCACGAGGCCACGCTCTTTTCCTCTGCTGCTAAATAGTTGAGGGGTTCTCTGGCAGTGCAGAAGGGCTGCCGGCTCTACGGCATGTTTCATCCTAGCTGTCTGAAAAGCTGGTCCACTTGAAACACAACCATTATCCCCACCCGCAGCACTCTGCAGGAGAGCAAACTCCCCCTCAATGAGGTATTTATTCCGCATATATGGGAACTATTATTTCCAACTTTTACAACAGTCATTTTAATTAGGGAAGAAAAATGAGAACAAAAAAGTCCTGCAATGCACAGAGAGACACACGTATTTACATGTAGAACTGGAAAGCATTCGGGTTGTTTCTAATAACTGCAGCTCCTGGAGGGGACATGCCTTCCACACACAATTGACTTAAATTCTCTTTTTCTTTTCTTGCCATAAAAATATACAGATGTCTTTCTTCAAAAAAATTATTTTCCCTTTTCCTGTCTTACAGGAAGCCTGCCCGCACTTTTAAATACAAAGTGGGTATAAATAGAAGCACAAATTAGGCATCTTGAAAAGTCTGTATTTTCCAACCACAGAGAAACTAAGAAATTGCTGTGAGTGTTTACATATCTGACTGTGTTGAATTAAAACTGTGTTTTCTATCCATATGACCAGCAAAACAGGCAAAAAAACTAAGGAAGGGAACAACAGACTTAGTGGTTCTTCACCTGTTGCTACAGTGGGACTAGGGTGTCTTTACATTATTCAGCCTTCTTCATATGGCCCACTATAACTGTCAGCCTGAATACAGTCACCACTTTCATGAAAGCATGTCTTACATATATAAATGATACAACCACTATGAAAATTTCAGTGAGCCTGTCTGCTTTCCTATAAATCTAACTAGACATTTATCTCTTTAGTTGTCCTTCCGTATCACATTTATTAAAGGTAAATAAAAGCATGATGGCTCTTTAGATGACATTAATAGCTTGAGGGATTTTTATAAATCACTGAGTAGCAGTGTCCAGCTCACAACAGCAGTGGTGAAACAGGTCTGCCCATCTGATGTTTTCTGACTTAGCCTTCTGCTTTAACATCATGTTGCTCATTTAAAATTAACTCATCTCCTGTTTCTTTGCTGTTGTAACTTCTGCTGTTCTCTCAACTTCTGACATCAATGTTTTTCTAGCAGCCCACGTATCCCAGCCAGCTAGTGTTGTTGGTCACTATACAGATGCAGTAGCTTCATTAAATTGAGAACTCTCAAATTCAATGTAACAAAAAAAACTAAATGCAAACCACTCAGACTCATTCTGGCTGGTCAGCCCTTCTCCAGTCTGAATTTGCAGTAGTATCAATAACTTCTTGAACTAGATTTAAGGGGTGAGCTGGCAGCTGGTCAAAACAGCAGTCATTACCACTAAATTCAGCATCAGGTTTGCTGCTTATTTGGGAGGTTGTATTTGTCACACATTTCATCTCTCCCCACCTGTACTGCCTACAGAGAAGTTATCTGGCTTCCCCAATAAGGTATATTTTATCTGGGGGTTGCATTAACAAACTATAAGCTACAAATGGTGTCTCTGACCCACAAGCTCACACCCCTCTACATGCCATGGCTCATGAGCGGTCCTCCACTCTGCACATCCACTCCTCTCTCTGGCAGAGGAGTCTGCTGCTGGTGCGCTGCAGCACATCCTCCCAGACACAGAGATGAGTAACTCCCCCAGAGGGTTTGAGCAGGGCTGTGTGAGAGTGCAGGAGGAGGGTGTAGAGAAACCAACTGCCTACACTGAAAGAGAGCTCAAAAGCTTAACTGCAAACTTTTCCCCTAAATACTGATCCAAACTACAAAGACAACAAGTGTTCCTTTTCTCATAATACCTCCATCCTTATTAACAATCAGGCTTTTTTTTTTTGTTAAAGGAGGCTGGTGAGACTTAAGGTTGTGCAAGACATACTTTGATCTGCACCCTGATGAGTGAACATTCCCCTTTGCTGCTAGCCCAACTAATGAAGGGATAAAATTAGCTTTTATCCCTGGCACTTTCCTTAGCGAAAAAAACAGGCACTAATCAGCTGTCCTCACTAATCAGTCATCTGGCTAATGACCTTTTGCCTTAAAACACTCAAATTTCTGAATGATGTGGAAGGCAAAAAAAACCCCAACACAGACTGGCCCCTCTTTGTGGGTCTTAAGCCTATCATCTGGAACTGGAGACTGGGAGGTTAAATCGCAAATCTGTATCCTGACTGGGTGATAAATCTGTAATCAAAAGGCACAAGCCTTGACACCTCAAGATGTACTTCATTACTACACAACTAAATGGGGTTGGTTTTTTTCCTTTCTTTTTCTGTAAACTAGAAGCAGATGAAAAAAAAAAAAATTGCTTAACTCCCTCCTATTTTGCCTGTGGAGAAATCCATTCCACATCTGTGTTCAAGTGTCAGTTAATTTCTTACTTCTTTATTAATGCCTGAGCAGGAATTCAGAAGTTGAAAACATTTGCCTTTCTTTTCCTGCCCTAAAACTTCAGGGAAGAAAACGGCAAAACCACTCCATGAGCCCACAGAGTCAAACACACACAAATCCCTAAAAAGCCTCGGAAACAAAGCCTCCCAAAAACACAGCAACAAGCCTTCCAGTCCCCAGCCCCCTGCAATTCCTCACTGCACAAGGCACAGTCCTTCCTCTGAATACCATACTTGAACCTTATTTTAAAAGAGGGATTTTAAGGCCTGTTTCATTTTCCTTCTGTGCTTTCCGTAATGAGCCTTCCCCCCCTCCTCCTTCTTGCATTAAGGAGGTGGGGCAAACGCAACCCTGGATGGCTGAGGAGGATTAGCAACAGATGAGATGTCCTGTGGAAGTTGTTTTGCAGAGGCCTGTGGCGATTTCAAGCTGCAATACTGCACCCTGGTTTCTAACTTCATAGCGAAGACTGTGTTTACCTCAAGCTCCCCCAGACAAGGCAGTCCTCCCTGGGGACAATGCGAGGCGACAAACAGAAATCACATTACATTCGACAGCCTTGAGAGCCTTCCAACCTTGCATCCCCAAATGACCCAGCACTCGATACTCACGGTAATGAGGGTCCATGTAACCGTTTCGGGGGTCCATGGTAAACAGCGTCCCGCGGTAAGGTACAGAAGGTTCGGGAAGGTGCGATATAGATCCATGGATCTCTTTCTTGATTAATGAGGCCCTTTCCTCACTCGACGTGGAAGGCTCTTCACTGATCTTGCCGAGGCCTTGCCCACCCTGCGGCTGCATTGTGATCGCGTTCCTTCTCTCTCTGTGATAGGTCTGCCCAGGACTTTCATCCTCTGCAAAAAAAACGAGGGAGAAGAAAGAAAGAAGGGAAGGGGGAAGAGAGACACACACTTTTAGCCCATTTATAGCTAACAGAATAAAGAGAAGTTCTTCCCCCTCCCTCCTCCTCATCACCCCCTCGTCACGGTGCAAGTTGGTGACAGTAGGTGCACGTGTGGCTATGAGGGATGCTCTGGGGAAGGCTGCCTGCTCCAAGCAGGAGGCTGCTGGGCAGTAGATCATCGTCACCCATGCGCCGATGCTCCTACCGGCAGGGCTATCAATTGTGCGAGGACAGACATAGGCTTGCTGTTTTCTTGCCTCTGGGACAAGGAGACTGGGGGTTTGGGCTGCCTGATGGGGAGGCAAGAAACAATTTGTCACGAAGAGGAGAAGATGAACCCCAACAGCAGGGTCTAAATCAAACCTAGCCACTCACCGCTGCCCTGCGGCCCAGCTCCAGTGCCTGAGGATTGCCTGTGTGAGACGCTGGAGCCTTGCAGGAAGGTTAGCAGCAATCAGAAGGAAGGTGAGCAACAATAAAATTGCTTAAGATACAGCACGAGCAGCATCAGGCAGGCCCAAGTGAGGCCACCCACTCTAACAGGGTCACTGCATGGACCAGTGTGCCAGCGGGTGGGAGCATGCTCCCCATCCCGCTTTTTCCCCCCATATCCACACAAACAAATCCTCAAATTCTTGTTCAAATGAACAAAGGGAAAAGGTGGGGGGGAAATTAGAAGGGTCAAACTCAAGCCTGTCTGGAGCAAGCCTATGGTACCACTTGTAGGGGGAAAAGAGCCTCCTGAGGATAGCTCTACCAGCCTTCCCTTGCAGACAGCCCCAGAACCAGGAGCTCCCACAGGAATTTTAACCCCTGGGGGCCACACGTACCCTTCAGAAACCAAGCCAAGTGGTTCTGTTCCTCAAAAGCCAGATGCATGTTCCTGGGTACATTTTACACATGCCAGAGGGGTTTTGTTAGCTCTGCTGTAGCTGCTCTCCTTAAGTTGCATTTATTGCTTTGAAATACAGAGACCTTTCTCTAAACAAAGCATGATTGCTGGCTGTAACCCTTGGCTGATACCAGGCACGCTCTGAGTACAGCCCTGTCCAAGTCAACCATGCCTCACATGTGGGTGCACACCAGTACATCTTGAAGTAGTACTGGTATATACGCTCAGCTTCAGAAGTTGCTCGGCAGTTCTAGAAGTACACGAGGAACCTCGCGTTATTAAAAACCAGGCACAAAAATAGCTAACTAGAAAGGAAATGAAAACGCCCTTAGGAAATAAAGCTAAGGTAAACCTACTCTACAACACACAGGCAAGGAAGAATCATTGACAATGGTGCCAAGATTGCGCTCAAGTTGTCAGAGATCAGAGGTCAGGGCTAACTTCTCACTTGTACCTTGCCCTGGTGCACTCATTCACGCACCGAAAGCGCCAGCCAGCAATTTACCAGGAGACTAACTACTTTCATCAAGCCTGACACCAGCCTAACTCAACCTATTTGCCTTCATGTGAATTCGATTAGAAGCAGGCTCTGTACTTAGATACCTGGAGCTGAATTTTGGCCATTATACGCACAAACTAGCTATGCCATTCCTTTGAACGCAGCGCTCAGTAAGCTTCTCCCTGCCCCCTCTCCTCCCAAGTACCTACAACAAGAAAACCCAGCAGTGTAGCCTATTGAGTGCTTAATTATTTTCCTATCTCCAAGTATTACAGCAACCGGGGTCTGCTGACTTATCAGCATCTTCCAGGGACTGAATTCCTTTAACAGCCAGCAGTAATTCTCCATATAGAGCTTTTTCAGGCTTGGGTCTGAGGAGAAAGAGTTAATGGAAATGGACAACACCACTGCAGAGTTTAAACCCTTTGCCCTTTTCTACTTTTTATTAATATGCACAGGCACCGGTCCCTGCTCTGGATTAGCAGGGTTTAAGGTTTCAACTTTTTACACCAAAGCTGGTTTTAGTTAGCGAACTGCAAGAAGGGAGTTTAAAAACTTTAACAATTATATGAGGTTTTTAGAAAGCTGCTTGTATAACTGAAAAATAAAGAAAATAAAACACCCCAAAGTCGTATTTTCCATTACATTTCTCTCTAGCCAGAGTCTTTTCTGGTAAATTTCAACCTAGAGTGAACTTTCACTGATGAGAGGTAAACTCTTGTAAAAATAGGGGATTACACTCCATTTGAAATCCTGACAGACCCTCAAGCAGAGCAAACTAACCTGTGCTACCACAGCACAGAAAGCAGCACGCTGGAGTGATTTGTGGGGCTGTATAATCAATCCAAGGATCAGATAGGATTTCAGTTCTTTTACTCTTCCATATAAAGATAATATTTGTTAAAACTGCCATCCTGGGACACAACAAGGAGCTGATGTCTGTCTGCAGGCTCCACTTTTATGCTTTCCTTCTCGAAACATGCATGTGTCATGAATCAAGGTAGCGACTGCTATGGAACAAGCTCATTTTCCAAATTGCCGAATGAAATTCAAAACCTACTTTCAGTAACTTTGAAACTAAAGGAAAAATGTGGTTGGTTTTAATCAGCTTTTTCTTTTGGTTCCTCGAGGAAAAAAAAAAAACCAAACAAAAACCATATTAAAAAAGCAGTATTTTTACATCTGCATCAACCAACTCTCTCCCCATTAAGAAATTACCGGTGTGTGATGTTAGAAGTGAAACCGTTTTTGTTTGCCATTTAAAAACTCCCCCAGCAGGATTTCAGTAAACAGGATTATCTATGCAATAAGAAAGTATACTCAATAGCCAAAGCACTTCACTAACTTAATGCTCTGCACTGCTGAGCTGCTTTGGATAGAGAAACTTGACAGCACCCATGCTCCGGGACACGAGCAGGCAGGCGGTTTGCAGGAGCTCCCCGAGTGGGAAACTCCTCCCGCAGTAACTAACGCTGCCGACTCTCCCCAGGGCAGGCGAGCCACTCCAGCGCACCAAAAGGCACAAGCTGTCTAATCTTGTTCTGTTTCAGCTGAATCACTCAATAGAGTTTTCAGAGTAAGTGCGGGCGAGCCGTGCCAGGCCAAATTATTGACAGAAACATGCTGCCCACCATGGCAACAAGTGGGACTCTGCAGCAAAAGCATCAGCAAACAGCCCGCTTCTCCAGCAGCATCTGCCAAAAGGGGCTTACAGCCAAATACACAACAACTGTTACTGCTCTGTGCTCGCGTTTTAGAAGTGGCCAGCTTTAGGGTCAAAAGAAACATCCTATTTATTAAAGCCTTGCAGAGAAAAATGCCCAAGTTAAAGGGCCTGATCCTCCCTTGTATCTCCCATTTGCTTCCTGCTGGTGTGATCCCACCAACTCCAGCATAGCTGATTCCACTTCGTGTGGGTGTAAGAGAGGGGTTAAACCAGAAAAGAAAAGAGTAATCAGGCCCCAAGAGCAATCTGCATAAGCTTCTCTTTCTTCACGTACACCCTACGCTGTGTTAACAAGGCAGTGGCAAGACACACGTTACAAGTGCCCAGCCTGGAGCGACTGCATTAAGCCAAGATGCTCCCGTCCACTAAGAAATACCCAGTTTAGTGCTGCTCTTCTGATCAGAAGCGGTTTTTACCACAAGTGCTGAGCACCAAGAAACACCTTATTTAATCAACAAGCTTTTTCAGAAAGCTCACACTGGACAGCAAACACTTTTAATTGCTAAGCTAGTTTATGTAGAAAATTAAAAGTCAGGACAGACCAAAACCTAATGCAGAAATGCATTAAACTTTCCTTCCTGCTGAATTGGGGTTTGTCTTTTCTTATTGCAGAAGAAGACAAAGTAGAAGCTCTTTTACTTTAAACCTTTTAAAGTCAGCAACTGAAAAAGTTGAGATCTATTGATAGCCCACACAAAACACCCCATCAGTCTCGCCACACTCCAGAGAGACCCCTGCTTAAGCAAGCCAACGCCTCCCGGTTAAATCTATCCATGTACGAAGTTTCAGCACTGCATTCCTGCAAGCAACTCGGAGAGCATTATTACTGTCTCATGAGCAATGTGCCGACACACCTCAGCTAGGTAAGACAAGGTACTTACAACTCAGTCCAAGAGACCCTGGCTGATGCTCCCTCCAAGCTCTTCTCTTGACCAAGTTTCTCTGGCTACCGGGACGTGGGCATTCCTCCCTCTCCTTCTGGCTGTCTCTCTCCCTTCCCCCCCACTCTGAGGCAGTGCTTCTCCCATTAGAGGAATTAAAAGTGGTTGGTGCCATGCTAAATCTAACAAGCTCATTAGTATTCTTCCTGTGTGCTTCCTAGTGAACTCTCCTTATTCAAGCAGCTCTCTCTAGCTGAGGGGTCAGGCGGCTAATCATTAAATCAAACTAATGTCACCCTATCACAATCGGCCTAAGAGAAGGAGGGTTTATTATTTCAGTTTATGCTAAATAAACGGTTTTACAAACGGTCTCCAAGCAAGGTCAACAGCAGCTTCAATTACAAGACAAACTTAACAAGAGTTGCTATAAACCAAGTGCTCCATATTGACCTAAGCACAAGCTCGGCTCCGCATATTGCCACTAGCAGGATTGTACAGGAATGCATATTGTAAAATAAAGGAAAGGGTAATCTTTTCTTTGCCAGAATTTGTGACTGCACAGAGACTGCTCATTCACCTCTCCCCAACCAGCTTGCTGCTCAGCTCAATTCACCCCACACAAAGGCTGAAGACCAGACCTCAATGGACCGAGTGAAACATGTTCAAAACTAGGCTCTCTATTGTGACTGAATTTCTTAACATCTTTTCAAAAAGCGGAGAATGCCTTGAGGCTAAAGGAAGAAACAGGCTAATGGTGAATTGGGAATACTGAGCAAATTTCAGAGCCCTTTCCTCCTAGCTTTTGAGGTTGAAAGCAAGCTCTTTCCTTTCAAGTTTCAAAGTCCTTTTTCCTCCCGCAGTGTCACAGAAGGATTTGAAAAGAAGGTAATTGTGCTCACAGTCCCCCTGATCAGAGCTTACGTCCTATTTCTGGTATTTCAGAATACTTCTTGCAATAATGGTGCATATAGCTCAATCCCTTAACCGTCCTGCACTCTGCAATTGCTCATTAAATGAACAATTGCTGGTATAAAATGCCTTTTATGTTCAAGGTCTGGATATAAGATAAGCATTCTAGTACTCTAAATTTGGTTTACTAAGGAAACTCTCCATCATTAAATTACAAAACTGAAGTCAGAATATCAGTCTTTCCCAGAAAAGTAGCATTTTAGGTTGCTGTGAGGCAGAAGGAAAGGGGGGAGTGTGTGGAATGTAAAAAAGACTGACTACTTAGATTCTTAATAGAATAGATACCCAAGTAAGAAAGCAATTTCCCTTACTTAAGCTTAAGAAGGTCTGAGACTTGGTATTTGCTTCCTCAAAACAATGTAATACAGCAACCGCCACGCTCATCTGGACACAGGAATCTGCACCTTCCCTCGTACATACGCTGATCGCTACTCTCTGACCACCTTAAAAGCAAAGCAGGAGGAAATACATCTGTAGGACTGTGCCTGCCTTTAAAAACAGTGCATGTTATAACCAAAGGTTTGGTTTGGGTGGGTACAGTAGTTTAAATTGGGCAGTCTTGGTCCCAAGTTTGTTATTTTCCTGCATCTGGAGCAACTGCACATGAAGTACACACTCTGGGAACACTAACAGATATGATGGACAATGCTCATAACTGGCTTTAAAAATAGACTCCAACCATATGAGAGGCTACAAAATCTGTTAGATAAGAAGTACAGTACTCACTTTATTTGCAATGCTTAAGCATACCTTATACAAGACTTTTGTGCTTATAAATAGCATACATTATCTGAGCTCACCACTGAGAACATATAGATTTATATTCCCATTTGTAATGGATTTTCAGCTTAGTTATTCTCCCATTACCATATGTATAGTATTTTCCAGGAACTGCTTTGTGACCTTTGGAATATGAATACACAGCTCTTTCCTGGGGTTTTTTGTTTGTTTGAGAAACCTGTTATATTCTTTTGTTTGTCATCTTTAACTTTCACTGGAAGAAAAAGGATTTATCAAGGAGGCAGAAAGCAGACCCAATCCCAACAATACCTACATAATACTCCGCACACCCCCATTATTTTCCACAAATGAGATAAGTTCTGTTGCTGCATCTACAGCACAACTCAATTCAGTCCATTTTTTTGGAAGTCCAGAAGAAGCCAGAACACAACGCATCAATGCAGCTTCCATGACTTACAGAGCCTGATCCTGCACTTCTCCAGGTCAATGGCAGAGCTCCCACCGACCTGGAGAAGACAAGATTGGGCCTGTATAGTGCTTGCACTGCTCTAATGCTAAGTCAGCAACGCATCGCTATCAGTAGAACATGCCTTGCAGCCCTCTGCAGCTGTGCACTTAACTTTTCCAAAACTTCTGGGGAACCTGCTAATGGTATGAAGCAGCTTAAAATTCAGGTAGGCTTCTTCAGACACCTACATCAGAGACAGCCTTGTTAGGAGCAATATCTTTACCTCAAATTATTGATCATCCCAATGAATTTACACTGCCTGGTGCCTCCCCAGCTGCTCCCAACTAAATGCAGGTGGTTGAATTTGAACGGCCTTCAGTGAAATTCTGTAAAGTAAAACTACCTTTAAAGTTTCGTACAAGCAAAGATCTACTGAACTGAACTGGGAGCCTGCATCTAGAAACGCCAGCATCAGACCTATAGGTAGATGCTAAAAACCTTGAGGTAAAAAGTAATCCTACTTGGGGAACACAACAGATAGCTGCAGACACACCTACACACAAGGGCACAGGGTGCTGCGGAAACCTCCTTGTCAGTTCCAAGACTCTCGCCCTCAGAAGGCATACAAGGAGAGCAGGAGCTCTCCTTGCACCTTGCTACCTTGCACCTTATCCTGTATCTCCTTGATTATGCAGGACATGGGGAGAAAGAAAAAGCAGTACTATTTGGATATATGCATGAAGTTACTGACCTGGTGCTCGAGCCATCCCACTGACTTCAAGGACATTAGATCAAGCTGTGGAAGCTGCTTGCTGCGAACCAGAATCCCATGGTATCCTGTTGGCCAAGTTTGCCTAAAGCTGCCCAGCAGAGCATGAGCCCCTGCAATGCCCAACCCCAGCCCGTGGGAGCTGATGGAGGCACTGATTTTCAGCAGCCACGAGGTCAGGCTCCAAAGAAGTGGGAGCCTCACTTCTGAATGAGCCCTCTCCCAGCCCGTTTCCACACAGGCTTTAAAATAACAAAAACAAACAATTTAAATCAAACCAGCTGAAAGCCCTTTTCTCCCTTCCCAAGTTCACGACTATGTGTTCCTAGCATGGCAGACAGTGGATTACTGCACTGATACTTAACACCGTGCACAAGCGCAGCCCCTAGCACTCTGTTTTAGGTGTTAGTGACAGCATTGACTGCTGCAGGAGAAACACTAAACCCTGCACCTAGGTACCGAGCAGGTCATGACTTTAAAGTTTACCTTCATGGAGCCTGCGAGGCCCAAATCCCGCTTGCTTTACTCATACCATATTCCCAGGGATTCAGAGAAGCTACTCCTGAAAGCAGAGCAAGAGGGATTCACATCCAGCATCTGAAGTGCTCCAACCCTGGGGCACAAATGGTATATGCCTGCAAAACGTATTGGAGCTATTTGTTAGCATGTAGACATGCTGTATCATTAGCTTGATGAGAAAAGGACTCTTAGCACTGGAAGTGCTTTGTAGTTCCAGTGGACAAGACAAAAAAAAAGAAAGCCTTAATGCTGAGAACATTTGAAGGTAAAATTAATTGGCAAAATGAACATGTAGCATGTGATTTCCCCTTTCAAATTTGCAGAACTACAGGGCAGGCAAAACCATCTCCTTTTCTTGCTGTAGTAAATTGTTTTGATTTTGCTACTTGACGACTGGGAAACTCACTAGAAGACAAAAAACCTCTCTTGCAAGAACAATCTTACTTTCTCATTTCCCCCTTCAAACGAAGTGTTCCACCTTAAAATCCAGCAAAAGACTGCCAGTTACTGCACAACAGCCCCAGCAAACTACAACATTTGATCCACATCTGCTGATCAGGGCTAAAACTCAAGCTCTGCACTCTCAGAGTATCTCCAGGATACTCCCTTCTCCAACATCTAGCCTCTTCAAAGAGCCAGGAGGCTCAAACATAACTCAGAAGAAGCTGACTATGGACATCAGGATCTGACTACCAGCAACCATTCCTCAGAAGGGAAAAGCTTCTCGGCCTCTTGCAAAACACTCAAAAGGATCCTGATTTGAAAACATTATGAAGTTCCTTCCATTAGCCAGTTATTAGACTGTTAGTCACTGCTTACTTTGAGCAGGCTAATTAGTTACATCAAAGGCACTACAATAAATTCCCAGGAGGGTTTGGGGGGAGAATGTATTTCTCAACCATCTAATAGTGCATTTATGCCTAACCAAGGGTAACTGCCTCATTTCACTCAGACACTGGGGGACATATTCTGTGATGCTGCCACTTTCTACCAAGCCAGCAGCAACCCTGGGCCTTAGAGCTGTTTTACAAAGCTGTTTGTAGTCTGATATAAATTTGATTAGCCCCACTTAGAAGCCACAAGAGTGAAGGAGGTGTTATAAACCCTTCGGTGCACCATATCTCTTTAACATCTATAGCCCAGGCACCTTGGCCTTGACAGAATAAACCAAGTTAACTTTAGTGTTGTATACAGTTTGCATTTCTTCCCTGTTTCTTTCCATAGGTTCAGACTACCAAGCACAATCACTGGCCAATCACTAAGTGGTCTGCAACAACCCAGAGCTACGGCAACCCTTCAGAGTAGATGACAGAAAATCACCCATTTCATTACAAGATTTATTTATTGCTGCATCCTTTTGCACAGTTGCTGTAAGAGTCAGTGTTTCCATCACAGCCCTGTACCTCTGGCCTCCCAAGCACACCAGTTTAAAACTAAGTTATGGGTTACTCTGCCCTGATTTATGGTGGCTGCAGTCTCAGCTGTGAACAATGATTTCATCAAGGGCCAAAATCTGAATGGCCTATAAAGTTTTTCATCTACAGATGTATATGTATTTCTCTATACACAGAAGTATACACATGTGGCCACAGCACTCACACGTTCAACTCCACCTTACATTCCATGAAATTCAACCAATTGCAAAGGAAGCTCTGTGTGACACATGGATGCCTGCGTGTAAGTGTCCACACAGGGATGCTGGATACCTGAACACAGAAATGAGACTTTTCACATTCCTCACCTATAGTCTAAATAATTCAGGAGAAGGCAGCTGCAAAAAAAAAATGCAAGACTTAACAGGAAAGGATGTTTTCAAGCAAATTAAAATCATCCCCAGAAAACTCTCAAGTCGTGTATGCCAAAGGATTTGATGCTCTGAATGAGCTTCTGGACTAAGTGCATTAGTTAGAAACTGCAGAGACACTAATGCACAGGTATCTTCAAATACTCCTTTTATCAACACTGCTCCTTCAAGAATGTGGTATCCTGAGAACCCCAAACCTGACACCATCTGTTTAACTACTAAGCAGATGCAGTAAGTGTTGAAGTTCAGAGGCTGTCTTCCCTACCTGGAGACACCCCCTTTAAAAGAAGAGGAAAGTCTCTCCTTAGGCTTTAACAAGTGCTTGACCAATCTAGTTTTTCCCCATCCAATCACTTTCTTCTCAGTATTTTTCACTAAAGAGGATGCACAGGCTCCGGCAGAGATGCACACTGCCCTACCACCTTCGCATTCCCATCATCACAAGTACTACTGCCAGCTGCAAGCAGTGCCTCTCTCCTCCCTTCTTCACTTTCACTGCACACTTCTGGTCAGGCTTTCCAACCTCTGGCTGAGTCTGCCAGCCTCTCCTGCTGTATTTGAGAGAGGCAAGAAAGCCTGAAGAACATCACCTTTTTCCAGCTTCTCAACACAACCCCACAGCAGAAGGAGCTGCACACCAAACACAC